GTATTTCGAGTGAATGATAGCATCTCTGATGGCAACCAATGCCACTATAACTGCGGCAGAAATAAATTGTTAGTTACCAGCGCTCAGTCATTCAGTCATGTGCTATGGTTTTGGCATTTATGGCATCACATCCTTGAATATAAGGACACAGAGATCAGAGTTTTATAAAATCTTTTGTGAAACACAACTCACTTCTCGGTTGACGACTGAATATGACTTTTCATAATTTGCTCGCATTTCAAGTTATTAACAACTTTTGACTTTCATATTAAGTGATACTTATTTGCATTTACAGCGATCAACGGGTATGTCATTAGTCTTTAGCTTTACTTTAAACATTTGTAAACTTTTAATTCATATTAATAACAAAATGTGTGTCTTATTTATGTATTGATAGCATTTAATGACAATCAGTGATTCATAATCTATGAAATGATGTGATTGTATGAAAAGTGTTGGCAATAATTAATTGAATTGAATTTGATGTTTGATTGGATCATAACTTATATCATAGTATGAAATGTATAACAAAAACAAAACAAATCAATGTCTTGAGTGAGTGTTGGATAAAAATGATGCAAAACTGAGTGCCTATATGTAAGAGTATATAAAGGGCTGGCATTTGGTCTATAAATAGCTCACAGGAGTTAACGAAATAAAGGAATCGTTTCTTATTCTGTATTCTTATGTAATTGATTGGCGTTTTGCCACACATTTAGTCTAAACCTCACTAAAAGTCATACGTTTTTATTCAGTCATTCAGAGAATGAGGAGAAAGTGTTCTTGAAATTGAAATTTATGTTAAAAACAGATTTCAATTAAAAACAAACTTTGTTTCCATTGAACAGCGAATCATCTGATTCTTGCATTTAAATACTCGTTTCAAAACAATTCATACGATCAGTGATTATAAGAGAAGAAGAATCGTCTCTACAATATATTCATCGCCAATAAACACAACCGAATAATACGATTGAAAACAAATTAAATTGAAATCTGTTTTTAGAGATAAACAGAGAAAAAAGAGTGCCATTGAGTGATGCCTTCCCTGCCGTGTCTGCAGACTCTTCAGAGAGAATTAGCCGATTCTATCATACGGTGCGCTCCTCTCGACGACATACGAATACTACTGGCCTGCGGGGCAAAAGTCAATGAACCCGTCACTCAGGGTATATTCCCCATCCCT